CATTAAAATAAATAAATAAATACCTAATTACCTCCTCCTCCCAAAATAAATTAAAAAAAGAAAGTCCAGGAAGGTTAACAATCTTTCCCCAAAGCACCGAAGGGTGAGGAACGGACCCAGCTTCCACTCTCTGGTCTTTCAGACTCTAAAACCCAGCAGATTGGGCTGGACCAGGCCAAGAGCCGGACAGGAAGCCCTGACGGATCCCTAGTGGAGCCGCTCTGAGGAATCCGTTCTTACCTCCGCGCATCTGGCCCAGCACACCCTCCAGAGCCAGCTCCATTGCTCCTGCTCCCCTCCCGGGAGCCTGATGAGGCTTCTGGGAACTACGTGCGGGAAACACTCGCTGTCAGCCGCACACCTGCGTTCCTGGCAGGCCCTGCCGTCCGTAGTTCTTTCCACCCAAGGGCTTCACCATGAACTTCAGGTCACGATGAAATCATTTCTATATTGTCAAAGTGTCTCAGGGTGCTTTTGTCAGGAAGAGAGCCTTTGTTCTGTTCAGGAAGTACGCCGTGAGTGTCGGCAGCTCTGCTATGCCTGGAGGCCGGGCTGCCGGGATGAGGCCGGCAAAGCCCGTGACCTTGAGGAGCTGGTGACCTCCCGGCTGGGAAGCTTTATTGCTACTGGTAATAGGTCCTTGTGAGCAGTGCCTCAGGACGATGGATGTGGAGTCCCTGACAGCCTCTCCGGAGTGGGTCACAGGATCCCAGAAGGCTGGGGCTCGGGCCCAGCTGATGGAGAGGTAGGTGACAGGCGGAGAGCAGAGTGTGCGGGGTGGGCTGCTTCCAGGGCACAGGACGTGGCGAGAAAGGGCATGGCCGTTCGTGGCCCCGGCCTGGCCGAGGCAGGGGCCCTGACGCGCGCGGGCCTCTGTGCTCATGCCTGCCCAGCGCAGGTCCAGCAGTGAGTTGATCAGGACCACATGGGGCGTCTGGAACCTGCGCCCCTTCCTGGACCCCGAGTCAGGATCTGCGTTTCACACCCTGCCCAGGTGACTGTGTGCAGCCGGCGGTGCCCAGCTTTGCTGGTGGAGATCGCTGCAGACTTTTCAGCTGGGCAGCGCGGCACGATTCAGCCTGTGTTTCAGGAAACAAATCCAAAGACTCTCCGAGAGCCTCCAGCGCCAGACTGTGCGAGAGGCAGGCGGGGAGAGTGGGACTGCGAACGAAAAGTGCATCTCAGCCGATGTGGGTGAAAGAAAATATAACCAGGAGTGCAAGGAGGAGAGAGATCTCAGTGGACAGAGGTCAGCAGGACAGCTTCAGAGAGGACGAGGTCCGGCCAGGAGGGGCCTGCGTCCATCCAGGCCCGTGCTCCCTGGGCCAGATGAGGGTCTGGGACTGGGGGAGAGGCAGGCTGGGCCTTCCCACCTCCCTTGAAGACTTTGTGCCTTTTGTCCCCCCGAAACTGGCGTTTCATGATGCCCCCGTGTGCATTCAGGCTGCAGGAGGCCGACCTCGGAAACCATTTGACTGGAGAGAGGAAGGCGGGCCGGCCGCATCCGCCCAGCGGCGCTGCCCTACAGGCCGGCCACGCCACGTGCCGGCTCTGCCTGGCTCTGGGAGGGCCGACTTCCCGCCCTCGGACCCCCGGGCCCTGTGCGTGTTACCCTTTTCTCTGGAAGACTCTGCTTGCACCCTCGGTTAAATGAGTAAAGAGCCTCGGCCTCTCCTTTGTGCTGTTTACGGACAATTGGAGAGAAAAGGGCACCTCCGGTTCACGGAGGAGCAGATGGTTTTGTACAGGAAAGCCATTCCCGCCCCTCAGTCAGGGTTTGGGCGCCAGGCCCTGAGCCAGGGCCCTGGTGACAGAGGCTGATGTCGGCTGGGGGCCCCGAGAGCCTGAAAGCCCCGTGAGGCCGTCGTGGGAAGGTGGGTGGAGACCGGGGGGGGGGGGCAGGGGACACGGACTCGGGGGCAGGTCGTTGCCGTGAGAGTCGGGACAGCTGGAGGGGCAGAGGTGGGGGCGGGTCTCCGGCCAGCGCCTGAGCGCTGAGAGCATTTTCATGGTCTGAGCCGAGAGGAAGCGTTTCCCGGGCGAGAAGTCTGGCACTAGCGGAGGAGGGCGGACCAGACGTGAAGGAAGTCATCTCATTCCCCAGCAGCCCTGCCAGGGCGGCAGGGAGGTGCGGGCCGAGGCCTCCGGGGAGGGAAGCGCAGCACGGCGCGGGGCGGCTGTGGAGAAACAGGAGCCTCTGACCTACTTGTTAGAGGCCCTGAGTGGGCAGATTCGCTCTTTCCTGCAAAATCTGGAGCCGCCCTGAGCCCAGGGGAGCTGAGCTTGGGCAGAGCCTGAGGTCTGGAGCAGGGCTCCCTCTAGTGGCCTGGAGCTGTCCGCCTGGGATGCTCCATGGAGGATGGAGGCCCCGGGGGCACGCAGGGGCCTGGGGGACAGCAGCCCCCTGGCGAGTGGACGCTCCCCCTGTGTTGTCCTCCTGTGCTTCTCACATCCCTATTTGGAGCATTAGAAGAAAAACCTGGGACCAGGCAGGTCCGTTCCCTAAACGGAGAGGAATCTCCCATCCACCTCTGTTCTCGTCTTCCTTCCCAGGATGACTTCCTCCTGATCCACTACGACAAAGGCCCCTGCAGGAACAAGCTGGGCCACTCCAGGGCGTCTGTCATCTGGCATCGGACGCAGGTAGGACTTGCTCACCTGGAACTGTGGTCTCGGGGAGAGAGGAGCCAGCACATCTGTGCGTGGTTTCTGGAATGCGTGCCGGTTGATCAGAGATCTGTTACACAGAAAACAGAGCTAGTGAGTGCAGTTCCCGCCGGGTTTTCTCCGGACTGAGGTGATGCTCACGTGGGCCTGGCCCAGCCTTGGAGTGAGTGTGGACCGCGTCTAGCCTGCGATGGGTCCTCGGCATCAGACTCCGGCTGCTTGCACCCACCGTGATCTTGGTAGGGAGCCGCTTGTAGTCGCCCCTCACGCAGCCTTTGAGGAAGGGCTTTCCGTGGGGCGTGGGGTGAGCGAGTTAGTCCCAGGGAAGCGTGACAGGCAGAGAAGGGAAACCCCTGGGCAGCAAGGTCCATGTAGCCGGTGGGGTTATTCCCACTTTCAAAACGCTTTAACCTCCCACCGTGTGCCTGGCGCTGTTGTAGGAGCTGGAAATATTCCGGTGAATAAGACAGGTGCGTCCTTCTCTCATGGAACCCACCTGCCACCCCGGGACCGATGATAAAGCAGCAGCCTGAGCGTGGCGTGACTTCAGCTCTAGAGGAGATGTGATTGGGGAGGGACCTTCCAGATTGTGTGACCTGGAGGTGGTGTCTGTGGCCAAGCACTGAGTGGTGGAGAGCCGGCCATGGGCGTCGGTGGGACAGGGCAGAGGGGACCGTCCAGCAGAGGCGGGGAGTCCAGGCAGGGGGATGGAGATGGGCTGACCGGCAGAACCGTGGTGTGAATGTCCGTGTGGACAGAGCAGGGGAGGCGGAACTGGTCAGAGATGATCAGCATGGACCCCGTGGGCACGATGTCCGGGATGTGCTCTGGGTGCAGTGGGAAGCCACGGAGGGGGCAGCTGGTTGGCCTCGGGTGTGTGTGAGCTCCTGGGTGCTGTGGGGAGCCTTGACCACGTTCCCTGCACTTCTCACCAGGCCCTGAGGGGGACAGTCGCCCCGTCTGGGAGGCATAGGAACTGAGTCCCCGGTAGTTTGTAGAAACAGAAAGAGCTCACCTGTGACTGTGCTTCCTGGAGGAGCCTCACTGCCGACCGACCGCGTGGCCAGGCGGCTGAGGTCCTCGCCCACGGGTGGGGCGCCGCAGGCCGTGCGCTCCCCGCTGCCTGGCAGGGAAGCCGCCGCCGCGGACACTGTGTCAACCAAGGCCCGTGGCTGCACTCCAGGAACACCCATCAAAGTCAGGTGGTAGCCTACAGCTCTAAGCGCACTGAAAACCGTCAAACTGTGCACCATAAACGGGCGAGTTGTCAGGCACATGGGTTACAGGCCCATAAAGTTGTCAGAAGAAAACCAAACAAAACACATTGTGGACCTGACTTGGCCCAGGGGCCAGTTTGCAGACCTTGGGGTGGAGAGTCGATTTGAGCTGCGTTTTATTTCGTCCTCCTGACCAGCACGGCCCGCTCCAGGGCTCAGCCCCCCACCTCTGCCCTGTACCCCAGACAACAGGAGCAGACTCCCTCACAGTTCTGGCGGCCAGGAGTCTGAAGTCAAGGTGTGGGCAGGACTGCGCTCCCCTGGAAACCTGCCTCTTCCAGCTCCTGGCGGGTCCCAGCTGTCCTTGCTCTCGGCTCACAGACGCATCTCTCCAGCACTCACCTTCCTCTGTGCACCTGCTCTGTGTCCAGACTTCCCTTTTGATAAAGACACTAGTCAGAATGGATCAGGGCCCATCCTAGTAATGTCATTTTAACTTAATGATCGCTACAAAGGCCCCATTTCCAAACAAGGAGCTGTCTGGGTCTCCAACGTGTGTCTCTCTGCGTGGCCTGAGCCTCCTAACAGCGTGGTGGCTGGGGCCATGGGCGAGCTCCCCAGGAGGGCGTGAGAGGCAGGCGAGAACTGTCACCCTGGCTGATAACGTGGGCCAGGTGTCACACCTTGTCCCCGTGCCTGTTTGTTTCCTGGGGGTGAGTCACGTGTTCCTGGGGGTCCTGGGTAGCACTGAGCTCCCGGTAACAGTCCTTCAGAGAACTGGCCCTTGAGAAACGCAGAAACCGGGACGGGGGTCCGGGGCCTCCACAGTTGTTGAGGAGGGCGCCGGGAGCGCCTCCCACCACTCCTTGCGGCATCCTCGGTGGGTCCGCACCTGCGGGACACCTCCTCCGTGCCCGCTCTGAGCCATGCCCGGGGGCCACGTGGACGAAGGAAGCAGCCCTGATCTCAGGCCCCTCTCGGTGCTGGTGGAATGGAACAGAGGTGCACAGGTGTGGGGGTCGCTTCCCTGGGATGCGAGGAGCCCCCGAGACATGCAGGGTTGTAGACAAAGTGGCCGAGGACGTCCATGCGTTAGTGTTGGATTTGGGATGAAGGGTGAAAGCTGAGTGAGCAGTGTTAGGACAGTGAAGGAGTCACACTCACTAGCAGCGTGTGTGGTGGAGAAGCTGACAAGCAGAGGCCAGAGGCCAGGGACTGCCTGGGGGACCAGCCGCACCCAGAGCAGACCTCAGTGCAAACAATTGAAACTCCGACTTGCCCTTAAACCTTTGGCTTTGACAGTTAGAACCGCCCCCGACACAAGATGCAGAACGCCCGTTTCCGGAAGGAACTTGCATCCTTGTCGTCTGTTTCTAGTGGTAAAGCGTCAGCGTGGAAGCTTAGAAAGTCTGCGTTTCCCACGTGTCTCCCGGTTTTCCATCAGCTCGGTGCCCTCTGTTCCCTCAGCCCCGGGACGGGCTTCTTGCTGGGGTGTTCATCATTGGCCTGCGAGCGGAGCTTCACTTGTGGTTATGGCAGCCTCGGAGCTTCCATCCACTCACCCAGGAAAGCTGTGTTGCGTGTGCACAGAGCGCCCAGGAGTCACGGTGGGCTCTGACGTCCAGGTGCCCCGGGGCGGCGGGCAGGACCCTGGCTTGGTGGCCTGACTGGATCTCCGCAGCCCCCCCGCCCCCCGTCTCTCCTCCTCACTCACTGGCCTCCGGCACGGAAGCTCCCAGCTGTGCTGTGTCGCTCTCCCCAGCCCCTGGGCTGTGGCGCTGCCGTTGTCCTGGTCTTCATCTCCTGCTCCTTCCTCCACTGATCGGGTCCATGCCCAGCCTGGCACGTCCAAATTCTGCGCCACTGACAGCCAAGCTCAGGGGTCACATCCTCCACAAAGTCTCTCCCGATCAGAGGTGGGCGCTCCCTCCCGTGCCCCCCGACTTCGAACACGTCTTCTGACGCTCATCACATGTTACTGCGATTCCCGCTTTCCCTTCTTGAACACCTGCGTCTCATCTCTGGTGACAGAAACCCTGTCCTCGGCAGCTGGGACCCACTTCGCCCTGGGCCCGCGCCTGAGGCAGAAGGGCGCTTCTGAGCTCGTACTCGGGTGCAAGCATGTCGGTCAGTTGGTTTTTCCCGTGACTGGCTTGCAGCTCCCTCTGCAAAGTGGATGGTCCTGGAGGAGCAGCATCCTTGCTCCTTCAGCTGCTGCCTACACACGGGAGCTTTCTCCGGGTGGGTCAGGAGGAAGGGGCTGAGCCCTGTTTTCTTGTCCTGGCTCCTGTGGCAGCTGCTGCCTCCTGGCTTCCTCCTCCCAACAAATATTAATCGTCACTAAACTATGACCAAGCCTGTTTCACTGCCAGGTTCGGGGGAGCTCACAGGATTGCGAGGCAGAGTGAGACAGTAGGAGCACAATTAGTTCCACTGTTGATGTTATGTCCAGAAGGATGGACTTAGCCAGCCCGGCAGAAAACATGGATTCTTAGCGTCAGCACCATCCAATTTATAAACAAGGTGCTTGTGTGCGTGTGATGGTTTTCAGGAAAATCTGTCAGGGTGTACTTTAACGCACACTGATGTGATGCTGTCACATTGCGTCGTATTTCGGAACTGATAACAGCCCTCCGAGGTCTTTTACTTCATTTGTTTATTTTATAAATGAGAAAACTGAAGCCCAGTGAGAGGGGAACACACGCCGAGTCAGATGTAGAACCAGGAGCCCCTCAGGTTCGTGTGTTTATGGCTCTGAACACCAGGTGGCGGGCTAACTCCACCTTCAGATTCCAGGTCTGGGCTCTGGCGGAGGGTGGAGGGGACCAGTTGCAGAGCAACCCGCTGCTTCTTTGACCGTCCACACTGCCTGACTTGGATGATAGCATGTCCTCATCTGAGGCTCATCTCTTTCGGCATTTAGTCATATCTAGGGGTAAGCCTATGTCTTTAAACAAAATCAACATGTGTGACAGTAATTGTAGGGTTTTAAACTCCAGGAATAATACAGGTCTGGTCACTCTCTGATGCACCGTGTTTGTGCCTTTCTGTTCTCCCACCTGAAATGGTTTATCCCAGTCCTTGTTTGCCACCCACCTCCTCATCCTTATAATCTCAGCCGTCTCTCATTGCAAACCCACCTGCAAATGTAGGTGTCTGGCTCCTGGGCTCTCTTTACACCCTGGAACCTGATGGCAGTTTTTGTAAAATGCATTATTATCATTTTGATCTTGGTCTCTTTCCACCAGACTGGGTGATTGTTGAGGGCCGAGATCTCATGTGCCTCTGTGTTTGCAACACCTAGTATGGCATTTGGCTCAGAGGCAGCTTGTTGGTTAACTGGATGTATAATTGGATGGATATTTGAGGACATAGATGGAAGGAGGGGAGGGAGAAGGGAAAGGAAGAAAAGAAAGGGAAAAAAGGGAAGGTGGTAAAAATGGAAGGCAGTGAAAGGAAGGAAATATGAGTAGATGGATGGGTAGGTGGATGATGGTTGGATGATGGAAGGATGGCAGGTGGATGATGCATGGATGATGGACGGATGGATGGATATGTGGAGGATGGATGGATGGATGATGGATGGATGATGAGTGGATGGATAAACGGATGGTGATATGGGTGGTAGATGATGGATGGATGGGTGGATGGGTGGACAGATGGAGAGATGAATGGATGATATAGGTGGTAGATGACGGATGGATGGATGGAAGGATGGGTGGATGGATGGAGAGATGAATGGATGATATGGGTGGTAGATGATGGAGGGATGGATGGAAGGATAGGTGGATGGAGAGATGACAGATGTATGGAAATATGCATGGATGTTACATGTATAATGGATGGAGGAACGGACGGATGGGTCTAGGTGGATGTCAGTGGGTCGATGATGGACAGATAGATGGGTGAGTGGGTGGTTGTGTGGCTGTACTTCAGCTGTGGAGCCCACAGGCAGCCACCTCACACTCCTCTGCTTCCTTCCTGCAGGTCGTGGGCATTTTTGCTGGATTTGGGCTCCTGCTCTTGGTGGCCTCGCCCTTCCTGCTCCTGGCCACCCCGTTTGTCCTTTGCTGCAAGTGCAAGTGCAGCAAAGGCGACGACGACCCGCTGCCCACCTAGAGGAGGCACGACACTGGGACGAGACCCTGCTCCGGGAAGCGCGGTCCTCCCCGCCCCCACCCGCCGCCCCCGCTCACCAAACATCTTTCTTGCCTTACGTGCCCCATCGAGCTTCACAGTGTCACGCCGGATGCCGTGATTTCAGGGACCAATGTCAGACCGTTTGCCCAGGCCCGGGACGCCATCACAGGCGTGGGGAGGGCGAGGCTGGCGTGGGTGGGGCACGTCCCGTCCCCACAGAATCGGTCTCTCCAGACGTAAGCAGGGAGGTGCTGTGCGGAGCACCGCGGGCAGTCTTCTCCCAGTGGCGGCTGCTTCGGAGAGCTTCTTGTGCAGAACGTGGTCCGTCTCCTCCTTGGCATCCCGCTGGCGCCACGTTGCCCAGAGAAGAAGTCTTTTAAGGATCGCGTCTCACTTCAGACCAAGTCCGAGTGTTCTGACTTGAGAAAAGCACTCTGGATATGACAGCTCTTTTTATTACTAATGGCATTTAGTAAAATCCTTTTTCGAAGGCATCTTTTTTTTTTTTTCCAACTGAGAAGTGAAAAATCAACAAGGTGCGTCTAAACCATCCTATGCCTTTCTTGAAACGTGTATTTGGGGGAAGCTGTTGTTAAATGGCCTTTCCGGCTCGGCCGCCTTCCAGGAGATTTAGAAAGCCTTATGTGCTCTTTGTGTTTTTCTTGAAACTTGTAGACTTTTTGGACGCTGCCCGTGGTGGGACTGCTACAAACGCGGTTCCTGGAGCGTTGCGTCTCCTTGAGAATCCTGAGTGTTTAAAGAAACATCTCCATCCTTAGATCTGCCTTTTGTTTTTCTCTCTCTGGTGATTCAGCTCAGCTCCCAGGGCTCCCTGTCTTCTCATCCAGGTATCCGCAAATATTTTTTTTTAATGTCTTCAGAAGCTAAATGTTTTACTTGGACACAGTTCTGTTGAGACTCACTTTGGTTTGTTGGCCTGTAGCGTCAGTCTCCGCCCGCGGACGCTACCCAGCGAGCAGTGATGTTGATGCCAGGGGGGCAGGGCCTCCCCGGGGCTGAGGGAGAAGCTTCTGGGTTTCGCAGTTTTTGTAATGATTGAGTTACTGTGGAGAAATCGTCTGTCCTACACACCCCCCAGTCTAGTTGCTCACCATGTCACCCCTGCTGGGGGGGAAGGAAAACAACTTCCATTTCATTTGTGTTGATTGGGGTCTTAACCTCTTGGCCTTGGACAGGCTGTGTGTGGCTGTTACCGTGCCAACAGGATGCCCGGTTCATTAGGCACATGGTTCTCCATCAGTCGACTTTGAAAGGCGGGGAAAGTGCGTTCTTTACAGAAAGTTGACTTTAATATGGTTTTTAAAGCCACACGTGCTTTTAAAGGGCAAAATGATTGCATCCAACTTGCGACTTCTAAAACTAGTACAAAGGGGAGTGGGGTAGATGTAGTATTGCAGTGGGACTTTTGAAGAGCTTATTAAGCATTCCACAGAGGAGTGAAGTGAAAACAGCGCCTGGCTTCTGCCTCAGTTCTGTGTTACAAGCACGTTCGTGCCGCGTGGCGCTGTTCTGTGTCTCCCACGTCTGCATTTGGGGATCCGTCTCAGGTCCTGGTGAACCTGCCCGTATAGAAATGTCTCTATTTCTTCACACTTAATAGGTTAGGAGAATCAGGGTCACCCTACTCTTCCCCTTGAAACTGAAGCCATTTAGGAAGCCAGTCTGTGTCCAAATTTTGTGCAAAATATCTTCCTTATAGTTGCAGTTTAAAAGCTCGGCCACTGAGGGAAACCATGCCTGAGGCCAGCTTTCTGGATGGCCCCCAGGCCCTGAGTCCCTGTTGCTGCAGAGGATGTGATGGAGGGAGGATGGCTTTTCTAGAGAGAGTCACAGCCCCGTGAGGTCAGAAGGTGAGGTCGATGGCCCAGGCTGGAGACCTCATTTGTGACTTGTGAGTACGTGTATCTCCCAGCGTCTTTTAAAATTCCTAAGGAAGACGGCAGGCTGGTGGCCCGTGTCCAGTGGTCCACAAGGCAGGCCTTCACCTGTCCCAGGCCATCCTGCCTGGACTCGCTGCTGCCCACTGCCAGGTCCGTACAGCAGTACCCCTTCCTGCAGGGCGGGGACCAGAGCCTTTGGAAAGCTTGCATCCGTTGGGCCAGAGCTCAGACCCCTTTATCCCTAGTGGCTGGGCTGTCCGTCTCCTGGAGGAGTCCATGGGCAATCATGCACATCACAGCACCGACCGTCTCTGTGCCTTCACCCCGACACCTTCACAGCACGTGGTTTGACCCAGGTAGGGACCACCGAGATTCTGGGGCCAGGCGAGGCTGAAGGAGCGCCTGCTCGCCCTGAGTTTTTGCATCACACATGGCCCGGCGTGCTCAGTTGGATTCTGTGATGACAAAGTAAGACTGTCCGTTCCCTGGAAGGACACCAGTAGGACCACACTGAGATCTGCACATAAACCTGCGTGTCCCCCATCTGACTTCTTTTCTTTCCGTGAGGAATACCATCCCCTTAGTTCACGGGGACGCATGTGGACCAGGCTTGATGTAAGGTGTAAACGGGACGTGGGAAGATGGCCCGTGTTTTGGGTTTTGACCTGCCTGTCAGTCCCAGGAAGACCCGGGGGCTTGATGCTGAGGAGACAGACCTGTTCCTGCTGTTCAGCGTGGTTTGTCTTCTTTGAAAATGACACGTTTAAAGATGGTTTTCACGCTGACCCTCTGGAAGCATGTGTCTGTCTATTCAGTTCGAGGCCTCTAAATCCCAGGGGGGAGGGGAGAAGGAACCCGGAGAGGGACCATGGCCGACTCTGCCGCTGTCTGGGTGGGGTGCTGCCAGAGGGCACGCTGACCGGTAGGTGGTCTAGTCCCTCGGTAATTGACCACATTGGGCGGTCTCACCGGCTGTGCCTGCCCTCTAGGCTGGGCTCTGGCGTGCCTCCTTTAGCCAAGCTCTGCCATCGTCACGGGCATCACTGTACACATCCACGTGGCAGAGACTGACCTAGGACTTGAGCACAAACAGAACCTTCGGTAGACGGACTGCTGTCCAAAGCAGCGCTTCCTCCAGTAGCCGCAGGCTGAGGAACCAAGACCTGCCACCTCTGGCATCTTTTTAAAGGGGAGCAAGTTCTCTTGACAGAGTACTGTTCCATCAGACTGTTTCAGGACAGGCCAGCTCCTGACTAGAGCGTGGCCCACGGGGAGGGGGTTATCACATACGCAAAAGTTACTCCGGGACGATTTTATCTTTCTCACCTGCATCACAAAGGTTAGAAATCATTCAGCAGGGAAGAAGAGGGCACTTTCCCTCGGTCATCTCCAAGAACCAGAGGCTCGGAAAGAACCAGGGTGGCTTTTTGCGCATTTCTCAGACTCTTGCTTATTAATAAACACCCCGTGCGTGTGTATAAATCACAGTGAAGTCATCGAGGGAAACCTTTTGCATGTATAAAGCTTCCTGAAGGTCTCTTTTAAAAAACACCAAAGCTTGTGTATTCCTTCTCATTAACTCTCAAAACTTCATGAAAATAAACAAAGCAAAGAGTTATGACCGGTCTTGTCAAAAATGCCGGAGGGAAAGAAGGAGGTGCATTGAAGGAGAATGCGTGCGTCCTAACCAGGAGAGCCTGCCTTTGGGTGTGTGAAGCCCGTGGTCTCCCCCATCCGTGGTTTGCATAATCCTGTCTTCCGCGATTCCGGCAGCCGTCAGGAAGGCGTGGGGACCCGACCTTTCCTTCATTCCGCGCTCATTTTACTGTGGGTGTATTTTAATCTTGTATAAAAATATGCATGAATGAGTCATGCACATGTATGCATTACGTATTTGACAAGTGGTGGTAAAGACAACAACAAAAAGACAAAAGTTTGATTTCTGTTTTTGAAATGTCAGTACATTTTTGTGCCACTAACACTGTGATGTATAATAGAGCTGTTTGAATGCCTTTTAATGTTGTGTTTTGTACTTGGGAATCATATGGAAAAGTCTGATTTGTAATTTCAATACATATTTTAAGTGTACTGCGTCTTATGTAGTTTGTCCCCCCTTTAGAAGGGATTTCTTTTTAAAGCTATTTTGGCTGGAATACAGGTTACTTTTGTAAATCCTGTCTGGCTCTGTCTTTTGTACATTCTTAGGTGGCTGCTGGCTTGCAGATTGAAAACGTTGTGAGGGTTGGATGTGGACAGGAGGGGGGCCTTACACTGCTGGGAAAACAGCTTTTTAAAATTAAGTTAAGATTAATATATACTATTATGTTGTTTCAGGTGTACAGCGTAGTGAGTCAGAATTTTTATACATCATGCGATGGTCACCACATTAAGACCAGCTACCGCGCAAAGCTCCCATCCAAAGCGGCTGCAGTCGTGTGAACTGTATTCCCTGTTGCATTACATCCCCAGACTTACTTACCTTCTCGGCGGAAGTTTGTATCTCTTAATCTCCTTCACATATTTTGTGCAGCCCCTGCCCCCTCCCCTCTGGCAACCCCTGGTTGGTTCTCTGTAACTGTGAGTCTGTTCTGTTATGTTTTGTTGGCTTGTTTGTTTTATTTTGTTGATTCCACATAGAAGTGAAACCGTATGATCCTTGTTTTTCACCGTCTGGCTTAGTTCACTTAGCACGTCGCCCTCGGGGTCCGTCCCCGTGTTCTGAGGCTTCCCATCTTGCCAATGTTCTCAACTCCCTTGAAGCCCAAACGATCCTGGGTGTGGAGTGAGGGAGCCCACTCCCGCCCTCTCTGCCCCCACCTCAAGGAGCCAGCCCAGGACAGCGGCTTCGGAGAGCACCTCCCCCTCCATCCACAGAGACAAGTACTTGCAAAGCTGCCAAAGGTTTTGGGAGCATCAGAGAAAGTCAGTGAACATCCTTTCACTGTGGGGAAAAAGGGTAAGTGGATACTGTGTGCTTAATAGGAGAAAAAATAATAGCTGAGTGTTTCCCCTTAATTTTCTTCATCTAAACTTCATGGAAGAGTGTGCGTATATACCTCGTCCTGTAACATGAAAAGAAAAATCAGGAATAGGTTCACATTTTGAAAACCATCCTTAGAATCTCAAAGTGCAGATGGGGGCAGGTGCATTTTGTGGGCTGGTGGCCAGACACAGCGTCCCTGCTCACTAGGGGCCCCTCGTCAGGAGGGAGGCAGATCCGCCGACCAGCGCGAGGTGTGACCAGTGTGGTGGTGGCTGCGCACCGCACTTCAGCCAGGGTGGGGGCCGGAGGAGGCTGTTGGGAGGGTGAGGCGTGTGAACTGGGTCTTGCACGCGAGTAAGCATCCGCCAAGCAAAGAGGAGCGCTGGCGTGTTCAAGGGGGTGGCCTGGCCCAGCAAGCGCAGGGGTTTCGGCTGAGGGGCCCTCGGGGCTGGGCGGTCAGTGCTCAGCCTCAGGGGCAGGTGCCAGAGCTCTGGGCCTCGACCTTGTTTCTAAAGCAGTGGGGTGCGTGTCCGTTTTCTAGGGCTGTGTAGCAAAGCACCACGCACTGAGGGGCTTGAACAACAGAAAGTTACTCTCGCAGATTTCTGAAGGGCAGGGGGCCAAGATCAGCGTGTCGCAGGGCTGGCTCCTTCGGAGGCCCCTAAGGGAGATCCGGTTCCAACCTCTGTCCCAGCTGCTGGAGGTTGGCCGGCATCCCGGGCGTTCCTTGGCTTGTCTGCGCATCAGTCCAGTCTCTCTTCATCTTCACGTGGTCCTCTCCTGTGCCCATCTGTCTCTGTGCCCTAATTTCTTCTTTTTATGAGGACTTCAGTCATTGGATTAGCCCCCACCCAGTCCAGTGTGCCTCATCTTAGCTCGATGTCTTCCAAGACCCTATTTCCAAATCAGGTCACATTCACAGGTGTTGGGGTGAAGGTTCCAACAGCTTTT